TCTTCCATATTTTGTGAACATGATCTGCCAAGGTGGTATAATGTATAAATCTAAGATTCATGGTAATCTACTCAAATGTTGCTATTATCCACTTTTCTTAAGAATTATTTATGATGAAATATCCAGGTTCTTCTTGAGAGGTGACAGGGTCTACCAGTTCATGCTTCATTGCATTTAATTAAGAGAGGAATGGGTGTGAGATTAATACCCACCTGAGAGTTTAGGGCCTTGAAATGAATTCAGTGCATTCCAAGGAGAGTTGTTGGAAAGCACCATCTGGAAGACATTTTCCATAGTGGTGCCAAGTTCTGCTTTCTCATAAATTTTGAACAATTGGGTATCTAGCTGCTTGCCTACTGGCGAGTTCAGGCATACCCTAAGTTTAAAGAAGACTGATACTTGAGAGAAAACATCTAGTAGCTTTTAATAAAATAAATCATATATACAATTATTTTGTGAGACTGTGATCTGGTAATGAGATAGCAAGAATTTGTGTGTTCCTGCTAAATATACTAGTTTTCCAGAATAATAACGTCAAGCAGTTCTGAGAAATGAGTCTTGTAGTCCACATTCATTTATATTTTTAAATGGTGATCAGAGCTTGGGGGTAGTCCAGCCAAATAAAATTTACAAGACAGCCATTATCTCCATTTATAATGTATATGTTTTAATCTAAAAGAACAAAAGGCCCTTTACTCCCTTACTCACTGGAACAGGAGGCATGGATAATCAACAAACAGGATACTTTGCCCCAGAATAGTAATTCTGTGACTGTGGTTGTAGCAGTGCCTTGGCCTGATTTTTATAAGATCACGAACTAGAGCTGTGCTAGCCAAAGGGAAAACATTTCCTCTTTCGACACTCCTCTCTATTAATAAAGTTTGTGTTGTCTATATGTGGCTTGTTAACGATAGGGGTGTTAATGACCACAGTTAATCTTTCTCCTCAACTCTTTCCTAATCCAGTCTCTTAAATAGACATTTAAAAAGCTTTTAACTCTTCTTGCATTGGGTGCTCGTGAGCTTTTGGTGGAGGTGGAGTGATAGTTATCAGCCCATTTAACAAAACCTGAGACAGCCAGGACAGCTGTAATGTGCATGTCTGCTGTTTTTGTTAAAATGGCTAATACTTTGGAAATCATAAATCCAGTGGAAAAAGCATCTTTATAGAGGATATTTTAATTTTGGTCTGTATGTTACATACCTAAGACCATCAGTACTTCAAGATTGATAAAGACCAAAGAGCAGACATAGGGCAGATTAAGATGGTTCTGTAAATTGGTTTGTTTTCATCGGGTTTATTTGCTGCAATAAGGCTATATAGAGGACTTCTTGAAGACAGTGCTATAGCTGACAATTTAATTTTTAGCCAAGCCACTTCTCTTTCCCCAGGGACTTTAGAGGAGCAGTGGGAATTTCTCAAACCTGGGCCAACTGAAGTCACCCATCAATGGCATATTTAATTAATCCATGTGATAGGGAGCTTTACATATGCCTGCTGCCTTTCGTGCTCTTTAGCCCTGGCTTGCTTTCTGGAGGATTTTGCCTCCTTAGTGGGCTTATGGAGCCCTGGCGGTGCGGTGGTTTAGAGCTTGGCTGCTAACCAAGAGGTAAGCAGTTCGAATCTACCAGGTGCTCCTTGGAAACCCTATGGGGCAGTTCTGCTCTGCCCTATAGGGTCGCTATGAGTTGTAATCAACTCCGCGACAACTGGTTTGGTTTTAGTAGGCTTATAGAGTTTATATTGAAAGTCTAAAATGAGAGAGCACATCGATTATGCCTTTGGACATTTGGTCTAGCTACCACCTCTTACTAATTGTTTTTCATTCCTTTTTAAACAGTGCAAACAAAGCTTAGAGAAATCTTTGGAATTATATATTCTTTTGCTCATGTGATGGTGAAAATAAAATTTGCTACATCAAGCTCTAAGCAAAGCCACTAAGATAGCTGGCATTGACAGGTGATGACTGAAGGGACTAGAACAGTCTGAACTGGACAGAGAAGACCCCAGGGGCCCATGTGGGTGATTCTGTGGTTCCAGGATTGATTCGTTAATGCAGAGAGCTAACTATTGCATGTATTTTCCTTCTGGGTCTCCCCAGCTTTATGTTATGCCTCTTTTTTTCTCTCTGTAATTGCTGGGGACTGACAGTTTTTAAACTTTTTCCTTTTACCCTTACATGTATGGAATATTTTTCCCTTTTCTCTTTCTGCTTCACCTTCTCACCTCTTCCTTTTTTTTGGATGATTCGTCGTCGGTTAAAGGAGTTTCCTGTCAGCAACTTGGAATGTGGGTTCTGACTGTGCCTGACCACAAAGCTCTTTGATGTTTTTTCCAAGCCTTACTTCTTACTTTAGGTGCTTTTCCCAGCATTTGGAGGCCTGTAAGGTGAATATGCCTTGCATTGTTGACATGAAGGATTGGTGGAACCTGCTGTTTTCTCCTGTACTTGTGGATTTTAGTTGCTGGACTCTACCTGTAGTTGTTGCTGCCTTTACCAGAAAGTTCCTGACTATATTCAAGAGAGGGCTGAGAGCTGCCATGTCTGAAAGATAGTCTAGAAACTTGAGAAGCTGTTCGCCCCTTCCCATGGAGATTTCCGCAAGGATAAGGTTGCACTCAGAGGCTCATCCTCTCTTCCTTCTGTCATGGTATCAGGATTCTACTTTAATCACTCCATCATCCTGCCAGCCATGTCTCATTTCTCATACTGGAACGCTCCCTCCTCCCAAGCTCAGCGTGAACCACTAGTCTTGATGCTTTATCTGGTCCAGGCTCTAGCCCTTAAATTGTCCGTCTGGCTTTGTGTTTCGTTTGACCCTAATACACTGGGTCGTACTGTCTAAAAGAGAATTACGTCCCCTCCAATGTCTGAGTGCATTTCTCATTTCTTTCTGCTGCTCCTGAGCAGATCTGTAACTTCAAGGTTAAGATAAGACACATTCCATCAGAACTATGTCGTCATCCTTGCCAGCTTCTGATCTGTGACTGTCCAGGAGATTTACAAGACAACTGCATGCCATTCTTTACAGAATATTATGGTTGGACTCTGACTCCTGGCATCAGGCCCAACTTCATTTGTCAGCTGTTACGAAACCCATTTCCAAAAGAGAAAGGGACCTCAGCCCATGTGGCCTTTAGGTAGTTCTTAAGGGTGGAAGGGAGGGAATTGATCTATTTCCTGATGTAATTTTAGCGGGACATGTGGACACCAGAATATTTTTGCTCATTTCCTTGCTAAATTCACTTTTTTTTTTTGAAAGTTTTCACCAAAATGTTAGTGTTGCTGTCTTTTTTTTCTGTCCTTTATCCCTTCATAGAATTGTTGTCAGGTAGTCTTTTAATTCTGTATTTGCCAATGCTTTTCTGAGTTTTGAGGAAATAGAATAAGTATTTTACCTTTGAGAGAGAACATACCTGCCTTGTTCTTAGAAGGTTTATTAGTTTCTGGTGCCTAGTTAACAAAAACTGTTCCTCCTTTCTTGCCATTTACTAACACGTTGAGCAGCAGGAGTTACTTTACCCTATTGGTGTGATACGTTTTAACAGCTAAGGAATTTGTAAGGTCACATGTTTCCTGCTGCTGTTATATTCAGCCCTAGCATATTTTTACAAAAGCTTCTCTTTGGAGGTCATAACAGCTCTTTGGTTTCAACATAAACTCACTCTTTCCCAAGGAGGTAGGCAGTGGGAATTTATTTGGCGTGTTTTAATGATGCAGGGTTAGATCTGAAATTTATTTTACATAAGATCACACATGGCAAGTTAATCACAGAATCAGGACCCTGATCTAATTCCTTCGGCATTGTTTTCATATCCTTTAACAAGAAAAGTTAAAAAAAAAAAAAGAGAGAGAGAGAGACCAAGAAGCCAGTTTTCACTCAGATTTCTTGATAGCTCCATTCAAATTTGAGAAAAATCCCCTGTAATTGAATTTTTTTTTTTTTTTTTACTTTGCTCTCATACCCTATGAAACCAAACCCATTGCCGTCGAGTCTATTCTCACTCATAGTGACCCTATAGGACAGAGTAGAACTGCCCCATAGTGTTTCCAAGGAGTGAGCAGCTGGTGGTTTTCAACTGCTGACCTTTTGGTTAGCAGCCATAGCTCACTGTAGCTGTTAACCACCGCGCAGCCCGGGCTCGTCATAACCTATAGTTTCTTCTTTTTGACAGCCGAAGTAATCACCATTCTCTGCTTTTTCCTCAGTTGGGTTCTTTGCTTTTCAGTGTCCCTTTTCCTTACTCTGGTATGCCAGCAACCTCTGACTCTAAAGACCCATATCTGTTAGCAGAGCAGGTTTGGAGGCTCTCTAAAATGTTCTTTAGAGCCAGGAGAAAGGAAAATTTATGGAACTTCAAGTCTATAAGTATCTTTTTCCTTTATCCCAGTCCTCAAGTATTAGAGATTATTGTTATAGGGAGTTGTTTATTATTGTATTATGTATTAATATATCAGGTAATAATTATTAAGAAATCTGTTTGATAACATTACAAAGACAACTAATAAGAAGTGGTCTTAAAATATACAGTGTAATTGTGGCTGAACGGCTCCCTCCTCTTTTTTTTTTTTTTTAAACTACTTAGGGGTTAAATTTTTTTTTTCTAGTTGTAATTTCAGTTGAAAATGTGTGTTTTGGTAGTGCTTCAAGTCTCTGGATTCTGTTTCTGTATCTAGTAATCTCCCAGTGAAAGAAAGTTGTATGCCTGCTTTTTCCTGTTACCTCCTCCGGCACCCCTCCTCCCCCCCAGCAATTTTAATTAATTGTTCAGTGACAGATGGTACAAAAGGCCTTGTCCAAAGTGCTTCTGGTGGGCTGGATTAAGGGGTGGTGGTTTGTACTGATCCTTCTGTGGAAGGACCTAGTCTTTCCCCTCCCCCTTCCAACAGAGCTATAATCCTGTTAGATGATCTTAAAATGCTATTGATTAATTCCTAATGCTCTTAGAGAAATAAGCACAAGTTTTTAAAACCCAAGAAGCAGTTCCTTTGAGCCCTGAATGCCTTAGCCTTGAGGCCAAGGAAGGTACCTTGCAGTTTCTCCACCCAGTCTTCTCTGAAAAGGAAAGTTAAGCCTTTTAACTTTTCCGTTTGCCTCTCCACCCCCCCCCACTAGTACTGCTGCCAGTTGCCATGGCAACGGACTGGGACAGCTGCGCAGTGGCGCCCAGGCAGCTGGGTGGGGGCGGGGGAGCTGCCAGCCCGCCAAGCCTCAGACCTAGGAGGGGAGGCCCCTCCTGTTAGCCCAGAGGGAAGGAAAGAACTGGGGCGATCCGGTAGGTAAAGGAGGGAACCCCCATTCATCTTCTACCTTTGGGGCTCCTCTTCTGCATGAAGGTATAAAGGGAGATTTTCTTCTTCCCTCCCTCAAACTGAAGAACACATATGTAAATCCTTGTTTTTCCTGGTGAGGCAAGGGAGGCCATAGCCACAATGCTTAACTGCATGCATCCAACATGGGGCTGGTTTTAACCCTAGCGCTCTGACCTAAACTGCTCAGCTCCCGGAAATTCCAAGGTGAGTGGGGGTGGGGGTGGGGTGCTCTCGCTGGAATATGCCATTTCCTGTCTCTGGTGAGGTTGGAGGCTGTTTTTATTTCAAATAAACCAAATCAGATATGTTTTCTTGAAGCTTAGGTCTCTCTTCTAAGTTCATGGAGAAATTTTTTTAAACCCCGCTACTTAAATTCTTCCCCACTCCGTCTTCCAAATAAAGTATTTTAATGAAAATAGTTTAATTACAGGACAGTAATATGGATACAGCCAGTTTTTTGTATGAGTAACTCTATTGCTAGTAAGTTCTGGAACTATGGTTTCCAACTATGTATTTTTTGGAATATTGTAAATTTGAAGTAAATTGATAAATGCAACTTTTTATATCACTTGATTTGAACATAATTCTGAGATTGGTAGTTGCTCATTCTATTCCTGGGAGTGGTCTTCTGGTCAGGATGGAAATATTTTAGGGAGTGCTGAAAAACATTTTTAAAGATGACAGCAGAATAAAAATGGAGTTCAGCTAAGAAAACAATTCCTGCTACTCTATAATCCAGACTGTAGGCACCATTTAACATGGTTAAGGAAGAATTCTTTAAAATGATTGTGGTAGCAACAGCATGGTAATTCAAAAAACTAGATTCTCAGTTGACTACCCCCTAGTGTGCATATTTCTGAGTTTAACTCAATTTCCATTTGTGTTGCCTTGCTTCAGCTTTCCTTGGGCCTATGAATGGTTCCTCTGTGTTTTGAGACTTCATGTTGATGCTGGGTCTGGGGCCAGACTTCTTTTTCTTCCTCCTCTTCCTTTGGCCCAAAGTCAACTTCAGTTGAGAAGAGGAGAGGTTACCTCCTTAACTATTTGGGTTAGTTGAGCCTTGGGAATTGCTGAACAATTGAGTGACTAATTTTGAATTTTAGGACTAAAAATTTTTACTCCTTCCTGACACACACACACGCGCTCGCGCGCCTACGAGCTTGCTAAAGGAGATTTAGTGTGTTTGAGATGTCAGCCTTGCTTTTGTTTTCTGATGGATGCTCTGAAGGGACAAGCTCAATTTGTTTAAGGGAAATGTACCAAGTCACTGAAAATGTGGTGAAAGATGTCTGAGCAGGCCTTTTTTTATGCTGCGAAGAGACTGGTCAGGATGCTCAGAGCAGGGAAGTTACATTTTGGTGGCTTTTCTTTTTCCATTTTTGTAAAGAACCTCATTCACCCTGGAGGAAAGGTTTTAATTCTATTACAGTTCATTTAGCTGAAGGTTTTCCGTATTTCCCTTTGAGGCTTGTAAATAGTTAGAAAAGTAGCCAGGAGTAGCATACCACAATACTTGTCTTTTAGAATCTGAAATTAGAAGAGATAGACAATTGTGGCATCTAGTAACTTTGGTCTCTTTAACTGAAGGGAAAGTTGTGGGTGGGGCTTGACCTATTTTTTAAAATTAATTTCTTAGGACTTATCTATAGAATGCTTCAGGACCCAAGAGAAGGCTACATGGCAACTTTGTGTTCTGCCCCCTACATCCCATCCAGAAGAGACAGAAAGTTTTAACTCCTCACGTGGATTCTAATCATATTGTCCTTCACATTTGCAGGAACCTGGTGGCCTTAGTTCTTCAGGTGAAACAGTGTGAGACATGGGAAAGAAAACCAAGCGGACAGCTGACAGTTCTTCTTCAGAGGATGAGGAGGAGTATGTCGTGGAGAAGGTGCTAGACAGGCGTGTGGTTAAGGGGCAAGTGGAATATCTACTGAAGTGGAAAGGCTTTTCTGAGTAAGTGCCTTCTCTTAGGCTTTAGGACTCTGCAGGAGTAGACACGTTTGGTTTATTTCCCCATGAACCACTGCCATCTTTGTCTTTCTCCTTCTCCTACCTGCGTTCCTTCCTTTCTTAAGAGTCAAAAGACACAGCAATAAACTAAACAAAGTCTCCACCTGCATTCCTTTCTAAAGAGTCAGAAGACACAGCAATAAACTAACAAAGGCTCCACTCTTGTGAGCTGACCTTCTATTGATACTGCTTTTAAGAGACAGTGTAATGAATTGGTTAGGCACACAGGTTGCCTGGGTCCAGATTCTTGCTCCACATCTATGATAGGAGCTGGGTGACCTTGGCAAAGTTACTTAGTCTTTTTTCTTCCTCTACAAAATGGGGATAAGAAATAGTACTTACTCCATAGGGTTCCTTGGTAGATATACTCCATAGGGTTCCTGTTGTTGTTACTATTCTTTTGGATACAACTAAGCTAAAATGTATAAATTAAGCAAAAAAAGAAGAAATAAATCCCATGTAACTCTCCAAGATGATCATTAGATCTTAGAAGTGTTGCAGAGCAAAGCAAACATCTTTAGGAGAGACTTAAATATGAGACCACACTTTTTTCCCTAAAATTTTATTTATTGAAAAATTTCAAACATACAGCCAAAGCAAAAGAAATTTACAGTGAATTCTCAGATACAACACCTAGTTTTTGCTATTAATTTTTTTAAACTTGTTTTTATTAATTTTTTTTCCTGTGGTCTTTTTAAACTCTTAAAAACTTACTAGTAACATGCTTTTTGTGTGTGTGGTAAATATATGTAACAAAACATTTGCCATTTCAACATTCTTAATACATACAGTTCAGTGACATTGTGTTCATCATGCTGTGCAACCATCACCATTATCTGTTTCCAGTTTTTTTCATCACCTGTAACAGAAGCTCAGTGTCTCCTAAACAATGAGTCCCCTTTACCTCTCCCCCCACCCACACCTTGTAACCACTAATAACCTTAGGTCTGTATACACTTGGCTATTCTAGATATTTCATATCAGTGGAATCATACAATATTTGACCTTTTGTGACTGACTTATTTTACTTGGCATGATGTTTTTGAGGTTCATCCATATTGTGGCATATATCAGGGCTTCATTTCTCTTTATGTCTGCATAATATTCCATTGTATGTATGAACCATATTTTGTTTATTAATTCCTCTGTCGATGGACATTTAGGTTGTTTCCACAGCTACTGTGAATATTGTTGCAGTGGACGTTGGTGTATATTACTGTTAACATTGTAATGTATTTTCTTTATTCCTTTAATCTCTCAATCTAATTTTTTTTTAAAGGCCTTAAAAACTCTTTTTAAATCAGAGAGCCTTAAAAGTGATTTGTTGACTGAATTGTTGACTAGAATCTTTGTTAGGCAGCAACTGCCTTTATGTTGAAATGCTAAAGTAAATTATTCTCTCCTTCAGAGTAAATAGGACTAGGCACATACTGAAAAATGGAAGAAATAGATTGAAGGTGCAATATCTAAGGCTGTATAATCATTATGCATTCTGAGTCTATTTCAGATGAGTTATCTTCCAAGGATGCCTGATAACAAAGAATGAATTTCCTAGAACCCCAGTGAACCGATAGAATCTGGTTCAGGCTCCTAGAGTAGTACTGTCCCATAGCAATATGATGTAAGCCACATATGTAATTTTAAGCTTTCTGGCTGGAAACCCTGGTGGCATAGTGGTTAAGTGCTATGGCTGCTAACCAAAAGGTCGGCAGTTGGAATCCACCAGGCACTCCTTGGAAACTCTATGGGACAGTTCTACTCTGTCCTATAGTCGAGGAACTGACTTTAACAGCAACGGGTTTGGTTTTCTGGGTTTTTTTTAGTGGTCACATTAAAGAAAGGTGAAGTTAATTCTAGTGTTTTATTTAACCCAGTTTATAAAAAATATTCAACATTAATCAATATAAAAATTATTAGCGGGGTATTTTACATTTTTTTTCATACTAAGTCTTTAAAATCTGGTATGTATTTTATATTTTATAGCACATCTCTGTTCAGACTAGCCACATTTCAAGTATTCAGTAGCCACATATAGCTAGTGGCTACCATATTGAACATAATAGCTTTAAAGTACAGTACTTAAATATACTAAAAGACTCAATGTTTTGACAGTGTCTTGGGATAAAGATGTGAGTCAGTAGCCTTTGAAACATTAAAAAAAAAAAAAAAAAAACTGTAGGACAGAGTAGAACTGCCCCATAGAATTTCCAAGGAGTGCCTGGTGGATTCAAACTGCCGAGCTTTTGGTTAGCAGCTGTAGCACTTAACCACTGTGCCACCAGGGTTTCCTTTGAACCATACTGAAGACTACTTTATTACATTAATCAGGATTTCTTATCTGAAGCACTTGTTCGCATTTTAGGTGGGACAATTCATGCATTGCAATACTTAGCATCTCTAGCCCAGAGCGCTAAATGTGGGTAGGACCTTCCCCCAGTCACTCCAACAATCAGAAAGTGACCCCCATATTTCTAAAGGGGAGTGGTATCACAACTTACTCTAGAGATGAGAACCGAACCATTGCATTAGAGAAATATCACATAACTACTAAGGGCTAGAACAAGGATCCAGTATCAGATTTCTTCAACCCTAAAGCCCAGGCTCTTTTTATGTTATACCATGCTGTCTTTTTTGGTGAAAACTGATTGAAGTAGAAACAACAGTACCAAAATGGTAGGAAAAGGGATAATCCTGATATAGTACTGGTTTTCCTTGCTATCACCCCTAAGTCTACTTGGGTGCCTTAATTTCCCCTGGGATAGTAAACTGTATGGTCTGTGATTTTTTATTTTTTTGTGATTAACTGTGATACATATTTATATGTGTGTGTGTGTGTACATACATATATGTTACAAAACAGTTGTGATTTCAACCTTTTTCACACGTACAATTCTGTGACTTTAATTATATTATGTTGTTCAGCTGTCACCGTTATCCATTTGCAAGGTTTTCCACCACCCTTAATAGAAGCTCAGTTTGAATTTTAGGGAAAGTTACTGTATGAGGAATTTTTTTTCTGCAGAGAGAAGGGAGATGGAGGAGAGGCCTTTCCACTATTGGCCCATATGATTTAGAAATACATTTTGTCTCATTTTTAAGCTCCTTTTGTAGAAAGTTGTTTAGGACTAGAGTAAGTAGTTCAGCTGTTTCCCTGGGTAGCATCATTCTGCTTCCTATTTGAGTCAAGTTTATGGCATGCGTTCAAACCGTTCCTATTGAAAGATACCTTATTTTAAAAATATCTAAAATAGTAGTGCATACTTCTAAAAAATTTCCCTATTCAGTCGAGGGATTACATAAGTTGTTTCTATGATGCATTTATAGATGCATGTTAATATAAATTAGTTCTTACTATATAACCAGAAGAACCTCTGACACTGGCGAGGGGTGAAGAGGATGCCTGGTCTAGTTTTTCCTAGATAGGTTCATTTCTTGCTTTGGATTTTATCAGCTAATGATGCAGTTGGAGTTTTGGTTTTTAAAACCTATGCCAGGAATATAGAGAATGACTTTGAGAATACCAACTATTTATTTCCTCATAAGACTCCCTTGATCCAAATTTAATTAGATTGAATTAGTTAGGGGTTTTTTTTGGCTTATTAATTTGAAAATGTATTTTGACTACCTAGTGACAATTGACTTGAGTCCAGAGTGCTTAAACTAATGCACCCCAAATGCCATTTCTCAGTCTTCTCCTTCTTATTGTTTGTCCATATTCTAATGATTTTAAACCTTATTGCCTTTTAAAAATAACTATTCCCAATCCTTCAATAATTTGTTGACATTTCTTCAAAATGAGTAACAGGTAAGACAGTGTAAAGTGGGGTTGCATGATTTATCAGGTTTTCCTCGTTTCAAGAGTTGCATAATTTCATATAGTTAAATATATGAAATCATTTCATACCATTTATGAAGCAGAATTCAAATTTGTTTTTTTATTGAGATATAATTTACATACTATAAAATTCACCTGACTTTTGTACATTGAAAGTGTACACTTCAATCATTTTTAGTAAATTTATGGAGTTTTGCAATCATCACTACAACCAGTTTTTGGGCCATTTCCATAACCCTCCAAAATTCCCTTGAACACATTTGCAGTTAATCCCAACTTCCACCCTCAGCCCCAGGTAACCACTGATCTGCTTTCTGTTTCTTTAAAATTTTTTTTACATTTTATGTTTCATGTAAATGGAATTGAACAATATATGGTGTTTTGCATCTGGTTCATTTCACTTAGCATAGTGTTTTTGAGGTTTTTTAATTTTGTCGTATGTATCAGTAGTCTGTTCCTTTTTATTGCTGAATAATATTCCATTATATGAATATACCACATTTTGTTTAGCTATTCACTGGTTGATAGACATTTGAACTGTTTCCTGTTTTTGACTATTATGAATGCAGCTATAAACAATTGTATACTACAAGTCTTTGTGTGGATATACATTGTCATTTCTCTTGGATAGATTCTTAGGATAAAATCTGTTATCTCCTTTAAGCATATAAGCATAAGGTTGCTTTTCTTTTTGCCTGCATGTCATTTTGTCTTTAAATAAGGCATCGGATTATTGTTCCCCCTTCATTCTTTTGCTTTTTTCTCCATTCTTCTTGCCCAGGGAGCACAATACTTGGGAACCTGAAAAAAACCTTGATTGCCCTGAGCTAATTTCCGAGTTTATGAAAAAGTATAAGAAGATGAAGGAGGGTGAAAATAACAAACCTAGGGAGAAGTCAGAAAGTAACAAGAGGAAATCCAATTTCTCAAACAGTACTGATGATATCAAGTCTAAAAGAAAGAGAGAGGTAAGCTTCCTTTCCCTGTTTTTCTTTTTGTTTGTTTGTTTGTTCATTTATTTTTTGTTTTGTTTCCATAAACTATTCTGCCATGAAAGAAAAGCCTTATTTTGGTTATTTCTGTTCTACAAGGTAAATTGTTGAACAAAGAGTTTCCTGCCTGGTATGTTGATTAACTACAGCGCCCTCTCCTGGCTAAGTGAGAAATGTAATTTATGTCTGGTGAATAGTATTCAGATGGCAAAATTAAATTTCTTTAAAACATTAAACTATTCTCTGCCTTCTCCATAAACGGAAGTCTTAGTTATCTTAGAGAGGGAAGGTCTTTGGTGAATATTTTAAGGATGGAAAAGGCTTTGAAATGTTGACCACTTCTCTTCTTTTTTTGTTCCAAAGATAGCAATTATTTTCAACTCTTTATATTCCCTCTATTTTTTTTATTGGGGTAAAATTCATATAACAAATAATAATAATTTTAAAGTATACAGTTTTGTGGCATTTATACTCTCTTGATCCTATTTCTACATACTTTGAGAAATTAATTTTTATCTTCATTTTCAATTTTTTTACTGTTCAGTTTGTTAAGTGTGTTTATGAAATTTTGGTTTGATTCCATTGCTTTACTCCTTTTGATCTTTAGCTCTCAAGTAACCAGTACAAGCACTGTTATTGCCTCTCTTTTTTTATGTATATCTCTTCCATCTGCTGAAATGTGCTCACGGCTCACGCGTGCACGTACATACACAACACCACCCAGCTTCCAGTCCTTTCATTTATTTCAAGGTTGTGAAGACTTGTGGTGAAGGATGTATCATACCCTTAAAGTTTAATAAAATAAAAGCTTAAGTTCACTTCTGAGTCTTCTAGCATCACTGTCACAAAGCACCCTTACTTATCTTTATTCTACTTGGATACCCATCATTCTAGAGCATTAGTTCTCAACCCTGGCTGCACATAAGAATCACCTGGAGGCTTTAAAAAAAATCTCCAGTGCCCAAGATGGCACCCCAGACCAGTTAAATTGAAATTTTTATGGGTTGGACCTAGGCATCAGTATTTTTTAAAGCTCCAGTATGGAGCCAAGATAGAGAACCACTGTCTAGAGATACATTTTGAAGGAAGACAGCTTTTAACTTTGGGAATTCCTTTGGGGGGTGGGGGGCGGCAAGTAAAGCACATTTGATTATTTTCTTTCTAAATGAACTATCTGTATTTTTTGTATGTTTCTAATCTCACCACAGTGCATGGAGAAGAGTAGCATAGGTACCTTTTAATAACACCAGCACACCAATTTCCATTTGTAGTAAAGGGCAAGTTAGACATTTGTGCTTATGTTTCTAATTAACACATGTTTTCCTGTTCAACTGCCAGAAGTACCTTTACAAAGGCTTGAGCAGGTGATTCCTGGCCTCCTTTGGAGAGAAATGGTGATATATATTTATATATATATGTGTGTGTGTGTATGTATACATATACAATTTCACATATACAGTTTGGTGACATTAATCATATTTATCATGTTGTTCAGCCACCACCATTATCCATTTCCAAGTTTTTCCACCACCCTTAAAAAGGTTTTCTAAAAAGAATTGAAATGAGAGTGAGAGATTAGAGGCTGCAAGTGACAGTGTACTCTGGGTTTATGTCCTTAGTTGTTTCCCTGATTATTTTTATTTTTTACAATGTTATATCTAAAACTGCCCTATTCAGGTAAGATCTGTATATCATGGTATGCTGTACTGATAAAGGACTTTAGAATGCCTTTCCTTCTCTAAGGAGTGAGGACTTGGTTCTTTTACTCCTTTTTTTTCTTAGTCCTTTGATTCATTTTCTAGCTAAGAAAGCAAAAACATCATGGCATAAGACTTCTGACTAGCCATTGTGGCATATAGTGTGTATTTCCCCAACCTTGGGTTTCTGTTCTTTTAAGAAGGAGCAATCTAGTTAGAGTTATTGGCCAGAGCAGGGAGTTTTGTTCCTAGACCAGGTTCCAGTGCTGCCGACCTTGAAACAACCCCCACACATCCCTTACATCGTAATGTTCATCTGGGGCCTCTGGCAGCATCCTCACCAGTGCTGGCGGCAGTCAGGTAGGCAGCTAGAAAGATAGGTGATTGTATGTTTTAAAGGTACAGGAGGGGTTACATTTCTTTCTTTAGACCACTGCAGAAGAAGATATTTGTTAATCGGTATTATGCCTGATTTAAGATTACTGCCTGTGTGATGATTTTAGCATTTTCCTCGCTTCGGCTCCTTTTCAGCAACTTGAACGTTTTCATTTCATTCTCCCTCCCTTCCCTCTCTATGTGGCAAACTGTTTTCAGCCGCCAGCTATGATTTACGACTCAGTCCATGCGCCAGCATTCCAGCTGTGAGCAGCTGTGTGCACATCTGGGAACCTCTTCCCCTTAAGCGCCCCCAAAAGGGGCTATGTTTTTAAGAGTCAATATTTCCCTTGATCCATACGTGGAATTTTCTTCTCAATGTGGGTTCTGGTATCTTTGGGGACCACCTGGACCCTGAATTCTTTGTATCTCTCAGAGCAAAGCAAGGTGAATATCAGATCAAAGAGACTTTATTATGAAAATCAGATACCAGAGATTTAGTTCATTTGGGCAGTCTTTCTGAATCTTTCTCTAGTGATATCCCCAGCTATGCTTGCATTATCTTCCATAGTAACATTTTAAAGACTATCTGATTTGTATAAAATCTCACCATTTTGCTCTCATCAATGCTGTTACACCTGGATTGCTACTTGTCTGGATTGCATTTCAGCCAAGTTTCAGTAATCCTGTAGTGAATTATCACTTGTTTTTGTTTTAATCACCATCAAGTTCTGCCTTCTAATGCTAATAATTCATCCATTTCAGGAGAGGATAAGCACAGATCAGGGCTTTTTCCCCAACCAAGTGCATGAGAATTGGTATATCTGATCTCTGAAATTTGCTATTTTGTACTGTTACTTTGACTCCTAAGTATAGATGACTATGAAAAGAAGTACTACGACTATTGGTCAATGTTAAGGTAAACTAAAAAGTCTAAAAAAATGATCGTGTATTTGAAGTTTATAAGATGAAAAAGGGTTCAGTTAGAGTGACCATGGACCTGTTCATCATCTTATAACCTAAAACTTAGGGGCAATCAACTTAGAACTTTAAGGCGATTCATGGTGAGATTTGAGAAATTTCTGGATGATGATTTAAGAATATTTTAAGTGATGTTAAGGAATTTCAGGGATCACTCCTAATCTTTTGAAGGAATTCTTGGAGGAGCAACCGTATCTTCTTGCAGAAATATCTCTTAGCATCACCGTCACTGACTGACCCAGTGTTGTGCTTCTTAAGTTCTAATAATTTTTCTTAATTGATGACAGAAATGGTTTCATGTATTAACTTCGGTTGTGCTTTGTTGAACTTAAAAACAGAGAGTTTGTTTTGCTCTTTCTCCAAAGCCATAACCTTTCTTTATCTTCTGTTTATAGCAGAGTAATGATATTGCTCGGGGCTTTGAGAGAGGACTGGAACCAGAAAAGATCATTGGGGCGACAGATTCCTGTGGCGATTTAATGTTCCTAATGAAATGGTGAGAGATATGGGGGCCTCACTTCACATTGGTGTTTTCTTTGCTAGGGACTTGAATTTGTACGGAAGATAGGGTAGTAAGACTGAGTATTCCCCCAGCTAAGAATTTTGATTGTCAAGGATCCTCAACCAATACCAGCCATCAGTATTAAATGGGAATTATGGTTCAGAATGGATTTAAAACCTTCTCAAGCTTTAATATTAAGCCAAATTATATTATAGTAGCTTACTTACCAGGAAAAGGTAGAGTTGAGGTAAAAAAGTTATAAATGTGATCTAACCATTTTTTTACACAGTTCTGAATCGTTTACCATCAGACCATGAGCTTATGGCCATGGGACAGGAGTTTGGTGAGTATTTCTGCCATCACTGAAGGCCAGGACTACTGAATAATGTTTAAAAGAGAAAAATAATCTCAACAAAAAGCATTAAGGCTAATACTGGCTAAAGCACAAGTTATTTCATCCGGCAGAAAGAATGGCTCTTAGAGGAAAGTGTAGTCCTTCCCCTCAGTTTGGTTTTTTAAAGACAGGGTGATTTATGGTGTGGCCCTAGCTACCTCTCTGTTTCCAAGTGTTCTGGGCTTTTGATTTAAGTTTGGTCTCTAAATAGAAGGCTCGGGCTACAGTGCCACTAAGGAAGCTAATTACCTTAACAATTGTGTAATTGAAAGGTTTAATATTTTATCTGATTGAAATGCTGCTGGTAGATTACCCCGAAGCCTATATTTAAAGAATCGCTACACTCTGTCAGAAGTAAGGAGCTTTAGAGATTGCTGTTTCCTGCTCAGCCATATGTGGTACTTGGGCTTGGTATTCACTTATTAACTAGCTTTTTCCACCACAGTCTAAATTTGAGTATCTGTCCTAAGCTGTTTGTATTTCCCCCTCTTCTCACCCATAGTGAGTCAATGAATTAAACATCTCAACTTTCTAGAAAGGAGGTAGTTACCTTTGCCTGCATCTCAGAATTTTAATTTAAAATACCTTTTCTTCATTTGAATCATGGTTAAGGAGATGTTGCTAGATTTTTATTATACGTGATAGTGGAGCCTGTGGGTAACGTGGAGAAATGAAATTTGTCAGCTAATTCCTACATTCATTTTAGTGACTATTTCACATTCTTCCTTACTCCACCTTTCAGAAGTATTGTTGCTGATGTAAATTTCTGTTTTCTTATTGTTCCAATCCACAATTCTGACCAAGGAGATAATGAGTGTGTAAAAGTCCACAAGGTGAGGAGGGTTAGGACCTCTTCACTTAGATGATCCAAAAACTAGATTAATCACTTATACATAATCAATAGGTCTGGATGTAGGTTTGATTATGTGTTCACTCATGTGCTGACAAATAAGCATTATGGAAACAGAATGAATATAACTTATTTGGTCTTTCTGGCTGAGCCTACCATGTTTTGCTTCTAAATTCTAGCTGAAGACTACTGTTTCTGTCTGATGTAGTAGTTAAATGATATAGATGAATAATTTAGTTCTTTTACTTAAATTTCTTCTTGAAAATATTGAACTTTTGGGGTCCTTTTCACATTGAAATCAAAGGGAAGAGGAAATCAAGTAAGCTAAATCCATGCAGTGACGTAAGTGTCTATATTCTTTCTCTCCAGGAAAGACACAGATGAAGCTGACCTGGTTCTTGCAAAAGAAGCTAATGTGAAATGTCCACAGATTGTGATAGCATTTTATGAAGAGAGACTGACGTGGCATGCATATCCTGAGGATGCGGAAAACAAAGAGAAAGAAACAGCAAAGAGCTAAAGGAGGGGGTGGTCTCTGTCATTTCTCTTTGTACATAATACATTCACCTCCCTGCCTCCTCTCCCTTCTACCTGCCCCTGTCTATCCTAAACACATCCATAAAAAATGTGCTTATCACTGTGCTCCACAGGAGAAATGTTGATATTGGTTCTCTTGTAACATAACTGATGGTCTGATTCATGATAAGTGTCTCTGTGAAGACCAGGCATTTACATACTGTGTGTAATTCCCACTACCTTTTCCTTGCCCTGTCTCTTCCTTCTGCTCTCCTGTGACCTCAAGATGCATTTTAACTTTTTAATCTCCATAGAGTCTTGGATCTTTTCCAAGTTGGCCACTTTTTAGATAGGGGGATTTTGTTACAATGATGATGAGTTTCGGTTTTTTGCTTTGGTTCTTAGAACATGTTGATGACTAGCTGGCCTTTGTTTTGAGCTGTTGGGATGAAAAGGATGCTGCCCATCTTTTTAAAAAGCCAATAGCAACTGCCTACCTTTTGGGGCTTTCCCAGTCTCATTCAGCCCTACCCAGGAGAATACAGGGCTCCTGGTGTGGTCTTCTGGGCCACCCTGTGTTCATGCTTGCTTATCCTCCCAGAATAACTCCATCCTTTGGAGGACTAGAAAGTTTACAGTGAAGTTTGTTGAGGCACTCCTTTAGCCCCAGGATTTTTGGCCTTGTTTCTTAGCAATCCCTTATTCTGCTTCTGCAAGGTGGTGTCAGTCTGCCATAAGATGGCAAGATTATTAACTGGAGACTTTTAGCTATCATACATGAGGATGATCGGGTAGGATACAGTTGTCTTTATTATTATCACATATGGTATAGGTATATTATTTTCTTCCATCTCTCATTTTTGGAATATATATTTATGTAGGTGTGAGTGACTGCCTGGTGCTTGCTTGTGCCAAGGTGCTAGGCACCCTCTAACCCTGCCAACTTTTGTGGCCTCCCAAAGCATTCCTGTTACCAAAGAGGCTTCAGACCTGACTCTCACTCCTCAGTGGACCCAAGTTGCCCCTTCGTGCCATTATTTTCAGTGGGAATTTCTTAGAGGGGAGCCATTGGCCACAATATCAATTTTAAATATTCATAGTGTTTGTTGTAGCCAGCAGTTTCCTGCTTTGTTGACTCCTGGATTTGCCACCACGAGTCCCCAAAGTATTAATGCTCTTCCGTTTTTCTGCCCTCAAGCTCTTAGTTGTATCATATTTTAAAAAATGCATTTCCATGGAAAACTATCACCTCAGAAAGTGACAGGCCCTGGCATTTGCATGTTGGCACAACCTTCTCTACCTTTTCAGCAAAATATTTCCTTTTTGGTTTCCTCTTGCTTTGCCATTATATTGAGGTTATTTTTCTGAACGTATCCTTCTACTTTTGTCCCCCAAGAAATGCCCTACTTCTCTTTACCCTTTTCTTCTCATGGTTGAGGAGGGCTAGAGAATCAGAACTAAAAGTAAGGAAATAGCAGGGTTTTGAGCATCTTTCTCCCAGCCTCAAAGCTGAGGAAATAAGAATAAATGCTTGAAATAGCCTTAACTCTAGAGTTCACCAGCCACTAAGGCTGTTTTTGTTGTTGCTTTTGATTTTTAAAACATAGCTGTCTGGCCAGGAGTGTTCAACCATTTCTGGATTATTCAGAGTAATGAGGGGAATGGATAGATTGCTCTAGTCCACAGATAAGCCAGATAATATGCAAATCATATACCCATTCATAGCATTTGTTAACATTGCTTCCCTGCTCAGCTGCTGATTGAATTCTGTATGCTTGTATAAATTATGTCAAAAATTTTACTGCACAGTTGAGAAGACAGCTGTTGCTGTAGTGACATGACAGACTGGAACAATGAAACTTTTGGTTTAGGTCATCTAGGAAAATCCATCTGAATGGTGATTTGATTGGATGAGAACTCATAACCCATACCTCAACTCGGTGAGAGTTTTATCTCCATCTTCCTTTATTTTTTTTTTTATTTTTTCCCATATAAAAATTTATATATACATTGTTAGTGACTCTAGTTGCTCTCCGCATACTGTGACAGCACATTCCTCCTTTCCACCCGATTCCCCATGTCCATTCAACCAGCTCCTAACCCTCTCTGCCTTCCCATCTTCTTCCTTTACTTTCTAAAGGAATTAAAGGCCTAAATCAAGTGCTGGATAATTGACAGTTGTTAGCACTTAATCTGATGAGCATCTTTTAAAAAAAAAGATGGTCAGGCAACAAATTTGTCATGTAACTAAGGGTATCAGTTAGGGTAGACAAGAATAGGACAAAAGTAGGCCAAAGCCCCTGAGGAGGTGATCTGTGTCTCTTGACTTGCAGCTGGAGAAAATGGCTGTCTATCTGTATACTCAGTGTGTACCTCCCAGTAGCAGTGGGCATATAAACTGCAGTGGCCATAGTTGTTTTTTTAATTTTTTTATTCTGCTTTAGGTGAAAGTTTTCAGAGCAAATTAGTTCCCCATTGGATAGTTTGTGCATAGAGTGTTCCATGACATTGGTTGCATTCCCCACAGCGTGTCAGCACTCACCCCATTTCTGCCTTGTGTTCTCAGTTAACTTTCATCCAGATTTTCTACCCCTCATGCCTTCTCACCTTTGCTTTTGGGAAAATGTTGTCCTTTTGATCACATACAGTTGATTGTTCTAAGGAGCACATTCCTCTGGGGTGTTACTGTTTATATTATGGGCCTGTCCGTTGTTTGGCTGAAAGGTGGTCTCTGGGAATGGCTTCAGTTACAGGTCAGAAGGGTGTCTTACGGTCATAGTCTCAGGGGTTCCTCCAGTCTCTGTCAGACTAGTAAGTCTGGTCTGTTTTGTGAATTTGATTTTTTTGTTCTACATTTTCCTCCTGCTCTGTCTGGGACCCTTTGTTGTTGTGATTCCAATCAGAGCAAGTAGTAGTGGTAGCCAGGCACCATTTAGTTCTTCTGGTCTCGGGGTTGTGTAGGCTGCAGTTCATGTGGTCGATTAGTCCTTTGGACTAATTGCTCCCTTGAGTCTTTGGTTTTCTTCACTTTCCTTTGCTGCGGATAGGAAGAGACCAATAGTTACATGTTAGATGGCCACTCGCAAGCTTTTAAGACCCCAAATGCTACTCACCAAAGTAGGATGCAGAACACTGTCTTTATGAACTATGTTGTGCCAATTCACATAGATATCCCAAGTCTGGTCCTTTACCTTCAAGCTGTGACCATATTTTTAAAAACAAAAATCTAGGATGTGGATGAACAACGTAACAGAATATTTGGTACTGAGATTGGTCCTGAGAAATCTGGGTCACATGGTTGGTGGTATTTAAGACATTCATCAAAACCTGATTTAACAAAATAATTCCATTGTCATCATCTACTCATCACCCCTTTAATACCTTACTCTTCATCTTTTTCTTGTCCTCAGATTATTGTATTATGGTCTTATACTGAGTGTCACCAAAACAACTTTTGTTCTCTCCATGTCTACTCCCAGCTGGTTCTGTAGGAATGTAGGGAGCCTGAGGCCAGTACTGATTTGAGCCCTTGGCACAAAGGAAAGGAAACCAGATGGGTGTCTGCCTATGCCCCTGGCATTTGTTAGTGTTCAGGAATTGCGCTGGCCCTTGGAGAATTGCAGCCTCAAAGAGAAACCTGTTTTCGTATATAAGAGTTAGTAAATAATCGGCTAAGCACCCTTAAAAGTCTAGGTCTCAGGTGCTCAAAGTATATTTTTCTTGTGTTTAGTCCTCTTTCAAAACATCTCTTCTTCTAGTAATCAGCATTAAATGATCTCACTTTCCACAGATTATTGGAGAGTTTTGCTAAGCAGAGTCTACCAGTAGCAGCTATTCTGATCGCTGGGCTAGGCAGATAGCCCTAATGTTCAGGTCAGCTGGGGAAAGTCACCCTGGATTCAAGTGCCCATTTGAAACCTGTAGAAGGGCATATCGTTTTTTCTCCTTCACATAGCAGTCCAATTTTTGTCTGCTCTAGGGAGCATTTGTCTCTGTGGTGTTCCTTAACACTCAGAAGTTCTTAGATGATCCTTGGCTATCCCCCAGCCATATCTACTTTATGCTTTTTGTTGTTGATGAAGGGCTGGTCCTGTTGGCCATAGCTTGGGCAGATTATTCTTAACTCTTTAGTCCTGTTTGGTAGCCACCCTGCAGTCCATTTTCCTTATATTCAGGTCAAATTCTAGCACCTTGGGAAAGGTTTTTGGGGATTTTCATCTTGTCATTTTGTTGGTTTCACCCAGCTCACCTGAGGTACAATAAGGGATCAGAGGGATCTGTGTTTGGGCTGGGGAGTGACTGTCTCTGCCCTTTAGGGTTAGAAGTTGAGTGCCTAAAATACTGCTTTGCAATGACATGAGAACCCTAGGAAGGGTTAGATCATTAGATTTTAAATGCAGAAATTGTTTCCCACAAATTACATCAAAGGAAAGGCTCATTTAACATCTATGACCACCCCATCCTTTTGGTTTAGATTTTTTTAGAGTAAAAATTTGAAGTGTTATGGTCTATGCCTTTGTAATCAGACCACCAGGTATACCTGTGGCAAGGCAGAGAAAGGAAAGATCTGGACCCATTGTATTCCAGTTTTGTGCTAGCCTCACCCACTAATCATAAAAATTATGTTTTCAAAGATAGATAGGTTACCAGCCTTATATCCAAGAGCATTTGCTCTGAATTGGGCACAGTTTGCCCCCCTCCCCCCCAATAATGATGGTGGATTTGCAATGAATTGTCTATGTTCTATCCACTTTAGCCTACATCAGCATTCATTTCATTCAACCAGCATATTTTTGCCCTGGGTGTACAAAGTTCAAAAAGACACCCCCCCCCCACAAGAACTTCTGTACTGGATGGGGATGAACTGACCAATAGTAATAATAATTCAGAGTAATAGGTACTATAAATAGGGGTATGCATTTCTGACATGGGAGCAGAGACAACTGGCTGATGTCAGCATACTGTGTGTGGCTTTAGAGTAAGAGGGTGATGTTAATTGGTTCATCTGTGAAAAAGACTTATGACCTTGGATGAACTAACTGGCCATAGACCATAAGAAAGGTTTATTTTATTCTAGAATATAAATATATCTGAGGCCTAGTTAGAAATGCTGTTATACTGACTGAGAGCAACAACAGGTTTAGGGGGGCTTGAGAACTGATTTCTGTCACTGTTTTAGGCTCTTTGCCAAAGTAGTTCATGGTTAAGTTACTCAATGCTTGTAGAAAGTACTAACTATTGCAGATCCAGTTATGTGTTACATTATTGTGGGTTCTGTAACAACATTTGTTCCTCATGGACATTTTATCAGAGTTGCTCACACCATTTTTTTTTTGGAGAAAGTAACATGAGGCTGGTTTTAAGCCTAAAATGGACATTCTTTTCAATGACAAGAGATTTGTTAAAATGAAGGCTTGGGGCACATCTGTTAACACCTGCCTGAACGTTTATTTTGGACAGTGTTTTCCAGGCAGGGATTTACATCAATTATGTGGAAACCTTTCCGAGAAATACATATTCCCTGGAGTTTTCTGATTTAATAGGTCTAGAGAGGTCTAGGTTGGGGCCTAGCCCCTTTAAGAAATGGTGTGACCTTAAGAAAGTTCTCAGTTCTGACCTAGGTGACCACAAGAAAAGATACTTACTCCTGCCTGAATAATTGAATGTTGACTAGCTGGAAGTCAGAATTCTTAGAAGTTAGATGAACTGTTCTGAAAAGTGTAAAGGTTCTTTGGATAGCTTCAGAAAAAAACAAAAAACAATTCTAGTTTCTTTTTGCTTGAGCTGAATTTCTTGAATTTTAATCTACCTCATCTTGCCTTTTTAGAGTTACTTCAGCTTTTTGTCATTGCCATTTTTAACATTACGCTTGACTTTGGATGTTTTCTGAGATGGAATTTTTCCTGTTCAGTGATAGCATGTTCTCTTGCTTTGTCATCTTGATCCTCATTTCACCAAATATCATCTCATCTTGCTCCTCTGTTTGAGAAATATTTTAAAATAATTTAAAATCTTAGTATATGGGAAGAATGCTATTTGTCTCTGAGGGTCAGTAAGAGAAGGAGTTAAAACAAGGTGGGGGAGGTGACAGTGATCATGAAAGGAACCTGCACTACAGGCAGCCGAGGAGGAAAGAACCATTAATTAAGACAATTTCAAAGTCAACTGATTGTGATCATTAATGTCACAATAGATCAAAACCTAATTATCACAGCCTAGGTAAGAACCATCAGTATTAATCGGAAAATCTAATAGGAAACTATTATCAAGAAATTAGACCAGATTGGATCCAATGAACTTTTTGTCTTGTCATTCTCTCTCTCTCTTTTTTGTGCTGTCCCCTGGGATTGGCAGGCGTGACCCTAAGCCATGAGTCAGGCCCAAGTGGCTCATGCATCACACTTCTTATGAAATTTTGCTCACTCCAAACACGGACTGAACCTGAACTGTCATTGTCATTTTAAACATCAGTCTGGAACTTTCTCACCACCTGGACTTGTCCAGTGTGATGAGCAGTCAAAGTTTATATTTAGGTCTTGGGATGTTTGGTTCTCCCTGAGACTGGAGTATCCCTGGTGGTCATCCTATGTGTGTTGATAAATTGTTTTTTGAGTTTTTGTATGTAGAATCCTACAGCACTGGCTGCTGTGAGGTGGGTAGGGAAGGAAGGAGGGGCTTCCTGCCTTCTTTAAGAAGACTTAAAAAGATACAGTTTGTGTCATAACACTCATGGCTCAAGTCAGTATTTTGTGGTTAGTATTTATTTGATTGCAAACCAGGGCTGTCTGTGGGTTTAGTTCCCCTGCCACCATCATTTTAGGATGAGGGACATAATGATTTCCAGCAGAATCCAGAATAAATCCAGGGCAGGGTGGAGTGGTGGAGACATTAGTTATTTTTTCTTTTGTTAAAGAGTTAAGCCTCTGGCAGAAAGAAAGAAATACTACAGAAGTCTGACTAGTTAACAGAGATACACTCATCCCCATTACTCCCCAGTAGAAAAGCAGGGATCATTGTATCCTTAATCTTTAGCTGAGTTTGAAGACACTGCAACTCTTGATGTTGAGTTGAAGCAGAAAGAGGAGAGGTTCTACCCTCTGGGTATTATAGAGGGAGGGGTGAGAAGCAGCAGGAGGGTGTTTAGAGATGGTAGGATTTCTAGCTACTAGTTCAGCCTGGAGAGAATGTTGCTGCTGCTGCCACTGCTGTTGCTGACCT